CACAGAAACCATTTCATCTGAAAGTATTGTGTGAGAGGGTGAAACAAAATGTTTCTTGTTTATTCCCTCTACAGCGTATAGCAAGAGTGGGCTGGAGGGAGGGGTGTGTGTGTGACCTTTTCCAGCTTCTGAGCTGAATTCCCTCATGGGGAATCTTCCAGGGGCTGCAGAACCAGCAGTGGGCCTGGCCAGAGGCGAAAAGTGGCTAGAGCAATTGATGCAACTCTTGTCTTTCTATGATTGACTACATTCAAGCCATGAAAAATGCATTATTATTATTATTATTATTATTATTATTATTATTTACTTATACCCCGCCCGTCTGGCTGGGCCTCCACAGCCACTCTGGATGGCTCTCAACAGAATATTAAAAACATGATAAAACATTAAACATTAAAAACTTTCTTATACAAGGCTGCCTTCATATGTCTTCTAACAGTGAGATAGTTGTTTATTTCCTTGACATCTGGTGGGAGGGCGTTCCACAGGGCGGGCGCCACTACTGAGAAGGCCATCTGCCTGGTTCCCTGTAACCTCACTTCTCGCAGTGAGGGAACTGCAAGAAGGCCCTCAGAGCTGGACCTCAGTGTCCCAGCTGAATGATGGGGGTGGAGACACTCCTTCAGGTATACTGGACCAAGGCAATTTAGGGATTTAAAGGCATAGATTTCTACATGCACAAACACACACTCACCCCTCCAACCAGGCAAGTAAGAGTCATCCCCAGAGCTCAAGGACACCTTCCATCTAGGCAAGAGTGCTGAAGGAGGGGGTGAAGCAGAGCCAGTGAGGGCTGTGGTCTGGGAAGAGGAGAGTTGGAAGGGACCACGAGGGTCATCTAGTCCAACCCCCTGCAATGCAGGAATCTTTTTTAATCAATGTGGAACTCGAACCCATGACCCTGAAATACAGATAAAAGAAAGTACTTCTTCACACAGCACATAGTGTAACTATGGAACTCGCTTCCATAGGAGGCAGTGATCTTTAAAAGAGGATTAGGGAAATTCATGGAGGCTAAGGCGGCCTGTGCGCATTCAACAACTAGTGTGCATGTGAGTGACTATGATGAGATCCAAGTATGGAAATGATCTTATATGATAGGAATCAATCATGTGCATCGTATTTCAAAGTTGCAAACTGGGCAACATATGCAATAAATCAGGGGTGGCTAACCCTTTGTGGCCCAAGTGTCAAAATCAGTGATTGACATGGCCAAAATGGATGTGGGCCCCTCTCTCTTTGTCATACGCAGCGTTGTTGCCCCTTCCCCATTCATCAGATAATCAATCTAATGACTAGGAATTGGGCAATTTGCATCCCCATCAGGCATGCTCACTAGTATGTGTGTGTGTGTATATATATATATATATATATATATATATATATATATATATTTTCTTCTTGCCACAGTGGCCAAAATTGGTGGGGTCATGAGAGGCCAGAATTTTTTACCACTCTGGCAGTAAATAAAAAAGGATTCAAAAGTTGAACAAGCAGAGGTGAGGACACCGAAAATGCTCCTCACTTAATGCAGTGTCTGGTCTAGGACTAGCTTTGCCTCTTCCCCTCAATCAGACTAGCTTTCCTGTGAAATCCACTCTTTCAGTGGATAAGAGCAGAAGGAAAGGCTGGTGGCCCATCTTGTCCAGCATCCTGTTCTCACAGTGGCCAACCAAATGCCTGAGGGAACCCTGCAAGCAGGACCCAAGCACACGGGCGCACTCCCCTCCTGCAGTTTCCAGCAACTGTCATTCAGAAGCATTATTGCCTCCAGTCATGGAGGCAAAGCATAGCCATGTTGGCTAGTAGACATTGATAGCCTTATCCTCAATGGATTTGTCTAAACCTCTTTTAAAGATGGCAATCACTGCCTTTTGTGGAAATGAGCTCCATAGTTTAACTATGCGCTGTTTGAAGATATACATTATTTTATCTGTATTTTCTGACGTTCAGCTTCACTGGATGTCCTGTGGCAATGTCAGGAAAACCCAGGTTCCCAGTGACAGACCATGTAAGGACCCTGCAAATTCAGGGAAACCTTTTTTCAACTTTCCTGCTCACAGAAGTGAAGTAGCGTCTGCTGTTTGCATCATTTCCGTCTGTCTTGGCATCTCCTCGCAGTTACTAGAATGGTAAATTTATCTAGACCCTTATCGAGATGAATGGCAATGTGTACTTCAAACATGTGCTGTTCAAGGTGAAACCAAGATCAACATTTACCTTGAAGGGAGATCTTGACATTCAGCGAACATGAAATACATTCTGGCTGCCTTCATGTGAAATACTGTGTTCTCTCATTGATGGACCCATAAATTTTGTTAGCACATTACAAATGTACTTTCTAAAAGAAGTCGGAGGCACTTCAGTCTAGTGAGTAAGAAAGACGTTCTGAGATCCTTAGTGGCCTCTGAAAAATGAGTGTCATTTGTATTTTTAACAGAGAAAATCTTGCCACAAGGTAAGACATAATTGCAGTTTTTCTATCAGTAAAGTAAAGGTAAAGGGACCCCTGACCATTAGGTCCAGTCGTGACCGACTCTGGGGTTGCGGCGCTCATCTCACTTTATTGGCAGAGGGAGCTGGCGTACAGCTTCCGGGTCATGTGGCCAGCATGACTAAGCCGCTTCTGGCGAACCAGAGCAGCACACGGAAACGCCGTTTACCTTTCTGCCGGAGCGGTACCTATTTATCTACTTGCACTTTGACGTGCTTTTGAACTGCTAGGTTGGCAGGAGCAGGGAACGAGCAATGGGAGCTCACCCCGTCACGGGGATTTGAACCACCGACCTTCTGATCGGCAAGTCCTAGGCTCTGTGGTTTAACCCACAGCGCCACCCATGTCCCTTTCTATCAGTAGTTGGTTCCTTATACATGTAAGTGGATCACATGAAATTCATGAATCCCCCATTTTTGAATAATAATCAGTTTCAACAAAGCCACCTCTTCTATTGCTGTCAATGAAGATCCAATCTATAATCTGTATGTTTCCTTGAGTCTCAGTTTCTTTAAAGAAACCACCACATTATTTTGTGAACGCTGACCCTAAGTAACAGGCATCACCCCTCCTCTCCCCAATTTTATTAGTAATTGGGCTTGGCAAACCAATTTCTCTTGAAATTCGAAAAAAAACTCAGTTTACACTGGGCCCCATTACAAACCAAACTGAACCCCATCACATCCCTGATGTCATCACTGGGAAAGCAGCAGAGTTGGAGTCCTTCCTCCCCAATCCTCTGTGATCCTCTTCATGCCTACTCCCCTTACCAGGAACTAATCACGGTACTTGTCCAGCAACTATAGATGCTGCTATAACAGCAAGAAAGGGAGGAAGGGAGTCCCTTTCTCCCCAGCACCTGAAATGCTGCTTTATCGGTAGTTCAAGTACTTGGGACTCTGGGAAATGTAACTTTCCCATGGCACCTGATTGTATATGAGCACCATGATTCATTTGAGGTTCACGTTGTATTTAAGGTGATCATTATCAGTTGCCAAGATTCTATTCCAAGCCAAAAAATTATGTTATTTACTGATGTTGCTGTTGAACTGCTATAAAGTGTCCCTGAGCTGAGAAATTCTGGGTACAAAAAGATAAATTACCTGTATTCTCAGCAATAGAAGAAGCAATAATTTTTTTTACTCTTGATTCCAGTTTGAGTGTATATAGGGTTTGAGACAAAGCTTGCTGCAGTCCTTAGAAATGTTCCCATCGTCTCCATTAATTCACCTAGTGAGCCGGAAGTTGTAATGAGGCGGACACACCCTGAGCTTAAACTTGGATGAGCTTTTTAATACAAAGCTGAAGAGATTATGAGAATGACCTACTTGCTTGAAGAGGATGAGTTCTTAGAATGTAGCATTGCCTCTGCTCATGAAGAAAAAAATGTGTTCAGCATAATGGGACATTTGTCCAGCTAGTACACAAACAGGGACACATTACAACTGCTCAAGGGAGCCATGTTGTCTCCTTATAGGATGTATCATTTTGTTCCTTTTCTGTATTGATCTACCTCTCATTCTATATGTGGGTGACCCCAGCACCACACAGAACACTGAGCAAGAAACCCTACACAGTGAGGACCACCACAAATTCTTCAGCAATATGTAATGTTTTCATTGCAACTTTGGCTATGTACATCTTTAAGAATTTTTTTTAAGGCAATTCTGTTGTGCCAGTTTTGGCTTGTTGTTTAAACCAACACATCTTTAATCAGCTTCTTTAAAATGCAGGTTTCATGGGGCACTGAGTGATCAAAGAACCTGCATGTGCATGTAATTTCCGGTTGTTTTTCAATAGAACAAGGTGTAGGGCAATGGTTAGAGTGTTGGGTTAGGATCCGTGAGACTGGGCCATCTTCAGCTACTTAGAAGAAAGGTGGGATAGAAATGTAATAGCAAAATAAATAAAAATCAACTTTGAGAGAAGGCAATTTGGAAAATATAAGTGATGCAAGGGGAGGTGTGCCTTTCCCAGGCCTTCTGTTTCCCCACCCCACACCCTAGGGTCCAAATGACAGTCACCGTTGCAAGTATACCCAGGGTGCCCAGTCCAGTTGCACATTGCACCAAAAGAGGGTCTGCATTGGCAAAAACAAAGGAGGGCACCAACTGGCACAAATGTTGGCAATTTATATGCAAATGGTAGTGGTGGGGACTGTTATGATTATTTTATTACCATGCTGTGTATTTTACTATCTGTATTATGTTTTTATTATTATGCTGCATAAATTATGTTCTTAATGTTGTATGCCGCCCTGGGATCTTTGCATAAAGGGCAGTATATAAATTGAATAAATAAATGAATTATATGTATATAGCCTCAGAATTAGGAGGAATGACTGGTGGGGAAGACTCAGTATGCTGACCAGATGGGCATCTGCAAGCCTCCTGCTCTTTCCTTTGATGGTTTCTTATATTTAACCCAGACTTGGAGTGGGTAGCCCTCAAATTGACAACACCAGCTGACTTTGCACTGGTCCATTTAGCTCAGTACTCTCCACACCTAGAGATGCCAGAGATTGGACCTGGGACCTTCTGCATGTAAAGCAGATGGTCCACCACTGAGCTATGGCCTTCTCTCATGCACCCAGGATCTATTTTGTTTGGAAAGTGGAATTCTTACCACTCAAACACTCTGACCACCTTCAGCACTGAACCTCAGAGGCCTAGTGTTGCATCCCACCACCCTTAGACGGTGCGATTGGTTGAGATGTGAGACAGTGCCCTTTTTTTATTATTGCAGCCCCCAGGCTGTAGAACTCACTCCCTAGACAGATTTAGTTGGCTCCCCCACCCGCTTTTCAGGATTTAGGCAAGCTATTAAGACCTTTTTTATTTTGCCTGGCTAGTAGCTTGTGAGAAATCCTTGTTTCCCTTGTCTGATTATGTTCTGATAGTTTATTCCTCTCTCAGTTTTACTGTATTTTAAATGGGTCTCTTTGTATCCTTTGGGGGGAGGTTTACATGAGCTGCTCTGGAGGCCCTTTTTAGGCCTGAAAATGGACATATAAATGATTTGATAAATAAAATTAAGTAAATCTGTGAGGGCTGGTGGAACACCAGTGGGGATTCTTAGCGCTGTAGTGGAAGATTCTTATTTGCAGATTGAAAACAAAGGTAGCTCTGGGATTGTCACTACACAAATTTGCCATGTTAGAAAAGCCTTGGAGAAAAAGGGTGTAATATATTTGCAGGTCGACTGTTGAACTAGCAACCAAAGAAACCCAGTTATTAAAGACTTGATGGATTTCGGTTCTTACGCACCACCCCCTTGGCGGCTGCAAGCTTCCCTGTTTTACCTACCTATTAAAACACCACTTGCTAATAGCTGTGTGCCACCAGGACAGTTGGAAGCTACCAGGATTACAGAGTCACTCGCAATGGAGCATCATTATCACTTGCCTCCAAACTGGTTCACACAGACATGCTCATTTTCAGAAAAACTGTTTCCATACTGCACCACATCAAATGGCAGCAGTGGGTCACATATTCAGGTACTCTTCCATGAAAGGAACAAAAAAAGCAGCCTTGCACAAAGAAATCTAGAACATCAAAAGGAAAGAAAGAGGTGGTTCACCCTGAGATATATTCATCATATTCAAAAAAATATTTAATCCCAGTTATGTGATCTGTTACCTGCTGCCTGAAGTGGTGTACCATCTAGCGACAGATTAACTAAGTGATCTCCTCAAACTATGACCGTCCTTCATGTGTCTCTTTTGTCCGCGTAAATTTGTGTGCAGTGCTGTTGTTCCCCTAATTACATGTGTTTTCAGAGAAAGGAGAGAGGAGTGACATAATGACAGCAGTCCTGTGTCTGGAAAATGAACCTATCACTCCTTTAGCAAGAGTGCTCTGTAGCTAAGTCTCTGGAACATAACAGACACTTGGCTCTTGATTTTGATAACGACTCCATCTATTTTTTTATTTTTTACACAAAATGAATCCAGACTTTGAACTCAGTTTCCACTGATCATTTTCTGGAATATATTTTCTTCTGCAAGATCCCTAACCTTATTTCGGAAAATGGTAGGGAGAAATAAAGGGCATATGTGCAAAAGGTAGAATCTATTTTAAAAATAGTAAAATGCTGCCCATGAAATAATGCCCCCCCAAAGACCTTGACATAGATCACAGAACAGGATGTATGTACTGGAACAGAATTCTTTAGCAGGGAGTGTCTGGCTTTGCACAGATCTGGGCTGCTTCATTCACCTTGGGGCCCTGTCACAAAACATTTTTTCCTTTGCTGCATTTGGGATCTTTTGGGGCATAGTAGCATAGTTGGAACAACTGTAACAAAAGACTGTTGCTTCCAAAAAAAAGTCAGCCAAGCAAACGAACTTCTCATGAGAACATTAGAAGAGGCTGCTGGATCAGGCCAATGGCCCAGTTAGTTCAGCATCCTGTTCTCACAGTGGCCAAACAGATGCCTATGGGAAGCCCACAAGGATTTGAGCACAACTACTCTCCCAGATTAGAAGTGTCATCAAACTATTGAGAGCTTGATAAAAGCAGCACCATGACTGAACCTTGGAAGACGGGTGTTGTATAATCAGAATGACAACTCCCGGTCAAAAGTCTGGCCACCAAGTTCTGAGGCTTTCTCTGTCTAGAAGGGGCTGCAGCTCAGTCTAAGCTAATAAGCCATCATTACCACTTGAGCACTGAAAGTAAGGACAAGATCCAAGAGCATCCTCAAGCTACAGAGGTTGTCCCTTCAGGGGGAGTGAAACCTCATTCAGGGGTGGTGAGATGCTACCTCATAAAGCCAATGAACTGCCCATTAACAGCAATTCCATCTTAACTGAATTGTTCACTCTCACTTATCCCGTTACTGATTCCAGCATGGGTTAGCCCTGCCACTGTCTTGCTAGGTTCTGATGTGAAGGAGAACTAGACTTGGGTGTGTTTGGTACAGTGATGGGGGCCATTCTTCAAAGTCAGCAGGCTTTCTCCCTCTTGTAGCAAAGCATTACCTCACAAATCCAGATGGTCAGCTAGATGCTATCCATCAAGAAGAGCAAAGGTCAAGCAAACCATGCGGTAACTGACATTCCACCAAGCCTCCTCCACCTCCCTGGGCTACATTAACTGAAAGTCTTCCAAGCAAACAGAATTAGACAGCTCTCTAGTAACATCCTGTATTTATACCGTTCCAGAAGTGGTGTCCAGGTTGCACCAGATGGAAGTTATTTCATTTGTTTGTGGTGTTTAGCAAACAAAAAAACAGTGGACTGTCAAGGATTTTCTCCAATAGCCTGGAGAATACTCCAAACAGTTCCACAGTTCCACTGTGCTTATTTGACGCTAGCAGAGAAGTATTGTTCTTTACCACAAGCACCAGCCCAGATTCAGCCCTAGAATGGGCTCTTGCCTGTGTTCAGTTGGATTCACCTTGAGTTTCTCTCCACTTGTCTTCCAGCTACAAACCCTGCCATTTCACATCTCCAAGCTCCAAGCTTCTATGGAACATCGAAGTGGCTAGTCCTGTTGAGTTTTGCTGGTATTTAATACTGGAAACCTAGTTAGGTGCCAGGATCATCATGGAGAGACCAGACCCAAGTACAAAATTCTGAATGGGATATGGCCAAGCTGGAGAAAGACACAGCATCTTTGTGATCAGCTGTTACCTTACCTGTAATTTAGAGCCATTTCATTTCATTTCAGTACGGTGAAACCAAAGTGTCTCCAGACTCTTTTAACTGTTTGGATATCAATGGCTTTATTATATGAGAGAAGTCTTCTTAAGCATGACATAAAAGAGAGTGTTCCTGCATCTCAAGGGGTTTGTGTCTTTTCTAAAATGGCAGGCTAATAATAAATATGCAGCATATTTAGACTTGCAAATGCTGGGAGAGGAAGCCAGTAAACAGAGGAAGCTGCAATCAGCTCGCTGGCTGAAAGTCAAGAACATTAAAGCATAGCATTAGCCCTGGCTTGAATTAAAGTAACAATGAATTTGCATTAATGACAAAAGACACACAAAAAAGTAAAGCAAGCAAAGGCAAGGTTTTGCAACTTTTGGGACATTTGTGGCATTTAAATGGGAAAGTATCATCTAATTGCAGTAATCCTGAAGTCTTCACAGTTTGTTTAAATTGAGCTCAGGATGTCTTCTGAGCTGCTGCTGAGCCCTCTTTTGAATGTGTGCACACGTACGCAAAGGATATGTGTACAGCTACAGATGGACAGAACTGTTATTTTAGGTTTATCTCTGTTTCTAATTTTTCCATCTTGAGTTCAGCTGTCCCCATTCCCACATCAGTTTGTATTAAGGGGAGGGACCTCATGAAAATTTGCATGCATTTTCATGAAAGCTATATCTAATATATACAATCTTGCATGCATTCTTGCCCAATGTACAGTGGTACCTCGGGTTACATACGCTTCAGGTTACATACACTTCAGGTTACAGACTCCGCTAACCCAAAAATATTACCTTGGGTTAAGAACTTTGCTTCAGGATGAGAACAGAAATCGTGCTCCAGCGGCGCGGCAGCAGCAGGAGGCCCCATTAGCTAAAGTGGTGCTTCAGGTTAAGAACAGTTTCAGGTTAAGAACAGACCTCCAGAACGAATTAAGTTCTTAACCCAAAGTGCCACTGTATATGTTTTGCCCAGTATATGCATTTTTGCAAGTAAGCGGGTGGGAGCTTACCCACATTCATGCTTGTCTTGTGCTTTCTAGGCATGGATCTGAGCAGTTTTGCCTTTGCCCCACCACTTTCCCACAGAAAACCTGCTCTTTAGCGCTAAATCCTGGTTGCCGTAGGCTTAAGTGCTGGAATAGCTCAGTTGGTAGAGCATAAGACTCATAATCTCAGGATTGTGGGTTCAAGCCCCATGTTGGGCAAAAGATTCCCACATTGCAGGGGTCTGAGGTAGAAGAGCCTCGTGGTCCCTTCCAACTCTTTGATTCTATGAAATTGGAACAAACACCAATTTGCAGAAACCCCAATTGTTATTTGTTCTGATTTAACGCTAAACCACAGGTTTTCCCCAAGGAAAAGCAGTGGGACAAGTGGAGGTTTAGATGACGCCCTGAGAGAAATAATTCCCAGCAACCTCCATCAGAAACTGTGCACAGCCTAGTTTGTTAAGGGTGCTGGGATCTGTAGCTCTGTGAGGGTAGGCTACCGTTCCCAGGATTCTCTGGGGGAAGCCACGGGCTATAAGCACATTGTGTGTACACAGCCCACATGGGAAATCCTTGCTAAGGGGCTCCAGGAGGGCAAGGGGGTTTCACTGAGCACTTGCTAGCATTTTGCCTTTCCATCTTCAGCCCCATCTCTGTTGGGCCCCAGCGAGAGAGAGATCCGTTTATGAAAGCAGACAGCTCCTCAAGTCCTCCGGGTACAGCAGCTGCTTGTTGCTCACAGAGAATGAAAACATATTAAAGTTAAAAACTGCTGCTCTAGTCATTTTTCAATTCCCCTCTCAGAGAACTGGCTTCCCTGGAAAATAGGTCACTTACATAAAAAGCACCTTATTACAGCACCGCAGCACCGAGGTTAGAGCAACGGCTCGGGAGACGCTTTCATTCCGAACCCCTGTTTTCAGACACTTCAACATTTCTGA